TTTAAGCAGAATCCTATTGGTGTTTTATTTGGTTCATAAACATTAACATATCCTGAATACCATTAATCTATCTAATTAAAATAATAAATCTCCCTTCCTGATCTATTTTTTCATATTGACACTGAAATTGTACTTTTCCAGAAAAAAGTATCGCTACCCCACATTTCTTTTTCTCTTCCATTGAAGCAGAATACACCAATCAGAACTTTTTAAATTTCCATAACTGCTTTTGTGTCCTAAGCCGGTGTGTTTCCTGTGCAAAACAAACTTGTGCTTTTTCTCTCATTAAGGTATTATATAGAAATCCTCTTTTACCACGCAAGTTAAGGCTCTGATCATTTATCAAAATTAACCTAAGCATTTCTCCATATCATTCTCAATAAGCTCCACAGTCTTGACGTCTTATGAAACACTAACCAACCATCAATATAATACAATATAGCATACATCCTATCATTCCTGACTAACATATTTCTTGAAAAACAAACTTTCCTCAAGTCCTGAGTACCCAGTAGTACCCATAGCGAGGGAACACTCCCACCCAAAAGTCCGATGACCCGATGATATAAGATGGACAGCAGAAAAAAGGTCAAACCATGTGGTCTATTACATAGTGACTAACCTGATTTTAAATACCAGCTAAATGCTTAATTTATTCCAATTTTACCTGAGTTTGTTTACGTATATTAACCTACTATGTCTTATTATTATAGGAGTTCTAATGCAAAGAAGGCTTGGGTAAATTTCCTAAATGATAATGTCTAGTCTCATTCCACCCGGTGACCGATTCAGCGTTGCAGCATGCCTCGTGGTCCACACTCTCTCCTCCTCCCCGGTCAACCTTATTTCCAGGTTTGAGCGTTCCCCTCCCCTCATGGCATGCACAGGTTACGTCATCCACACCCCAAACTTGACTGCCTACCTTTACGTCATCTGAAATAATTACCCCTAAATCCCTTTCCTCAGATGTTGAGGTTAGGACTCTATCAAATATTCTGTACTCTGCCCTTGGGTTTTTGCATTCAAGATGAATTATTTTGTCACAACTTTGACCATTTTTCTAGCTTACCTAAATCATTTGCCATTTGGCTTATCCCTCCTGGAACATCAACCGTGTTACATATCTTAGTATAATCAGCAAAAATACATACCTTACCATCAAGGCCTTCTGCAATATCACTAATAAAAATATTAAAGAGAATGGGTCCAAGTACAGATCCCTGAGGTACCCCACTGGTGAAAAGACCAAACTTTAAATATACTCAATTGACTATAACCCTCTGTTGTCTGTCACTCAGCCACTGCCTTACCCGTTCAACAATACTGGAATTCAAACTTAAAGATTGCAGTTTATTGATAAGCCTTCTATGTGCAACAGTGTAAAAAGCCATACTGAAATATAGGTAAGCAATGTCTACTGCACCACCCTGATCTATTATTTTTGTTACCCAATCAAAAATCAATAAGATTAGTTAAACATGATCTCCCTGAAGTAAACCCATGTTGTCTCTGATCTTGAAATCCATGTGATTTTAAATGTTCAACAATCCTATCCTTTAACATGATTTCCATTACTTTCCCCACTATTGAAGTAAGGTTTACTGACCTTATACTGAACAAAAATATTTACTGGGGCAGTCAGCTAGACCTTTATCCTCTTCTATATACCTCCCTTCTTTTGTTTTTAATTTAACTAATCCTTGTTTTACTTTCCTTTTCTCATTTATGAAATGGGGTGTCCCCTTTTATTACTGACTGTGCTATTTTCTCTTCTGTGTGTGATTTGGAAGCTCTTATAACTTGCTTAGCCTCTTTCTGCCTAATCTTATAGATCATTCTGTCTTCCTCACTCTGGGTTTTTTTATAATTACTAAATGCTAACTTTTAGTTTTTTACAATTTTCGCCACATCTGTGGAGTACCACATTGGTTTCTTATTATTTTTGCTTTTACTGAAAAGCTTAATGCAATTTTTTGTTGCCTTCAGTAGTGCAACTTTTAAATAATCCCATTTCTCTTGGACTCCATTTAAATTGCTCCAGGCTGATAATGACTCCTTTACACACATTCTAATTTTAGAAAAGTCTGTTTTCTAAAGTCTAAAACTTGTGTTTATGTGTGGTGTGACTCAGTCACTGTTCTTACACTAAACCACACTGACTGATAATCACTGGATAAACTTTCACCTACAGTAATATCTGATACCAAATCAACATTTGTTAACACTAAATCTAGTATGGCCTCTTTACGAGTTGGCTCCTTAACGATGTGTTTTAGAGACAATCCCAGTAGGGAGTTTAGAATATGTGTGCTCCTGGCACAAGCAGCTATTTTGATTTTCCAGTTCACATCAGGAAGATTAAAGTCACTCATGATGATAACGTCCCCCTTCATTGTCATTTTAGCTTTTTCCGCAACTAGTAGATTATCTAACTCTTCTATTTGTCCTGAGGGCCTATAAATCACACCTACACGAGTTATTGCGTGATTACCAAATTCTAACGTAACCCAAATGTACTCTATGTTTGCCTCTCTAACTTTTATTAGGCAAGATTTTATGCTATCCTTCACATACAGGGCCACCTTCCCCCCTTTCTTGCTTTCCCTGTCTCAGTAAGAGCGACTAAATCTACATTATCAGTTGCCATTATTGCCACAAGTTCATGGATCTTATTCCCTAAACTGTGAGCATTTGTAGACATGACTCTAAGTTTATCATTTTTAATACACTTGCCACAGGCACCTTCTGTACTTGTTTTGCGGTGCAATTGGATTGATTTTTTCCCACCCTTTTGCCCCCCCTCCTAGTTTAAATACATCCTAGCAAAACCTCTTAACTGCTCACTGAGAACATTTGTTCCCGTTTGAGAAAGATGCAAACCATGTTTACAGTTTATTTCCATTCCAAACAGATTTACTATAAGAAATAAAGCCAAATCCATGCTCCTGACACCATTCACCAAGCCACAAGTTAAAGTCATTAATATGCATCTGCCTGTCGTTCTGAGTGTTATGCAACCTGCTGTATATCATTGCCAAAAACACAAAAAACTGTCTTTACCTCTGAAACCTCATTGCAAGCCAAGTCATTTGTTCTTATATGGACAAGTACATCAAATTCCCCTTAACAATATTACAAATACATCTCCTGTCTCTGTGAGCAGTAGCTCTGGGAAGACATCTCACAAGGCCACTATTGTTCAGCTCCACACCTCTTATGATAGAATCCCCCAACAACATCTGCTTTCTATTAGGCCTCACCATAGTCTTCAAGCCTGTCTCCATAATACCACTACACACGGTACCTGAAAATGTCTCCACAACACCACTACACTTGGTCCCTCTCTCCACAACCCCACTACACTCAACACTCTCATTTGCTAAAGATTGATACAATAATATTCTTTGTTTTCTAACTTTTCTGCACATACACAAAAAGTCCTGAGTACATAGATACCAAATATGTCTTGATTTACACACATGTATAACTAAGTTCAGCTGCATTTTAGAGCATTTTAGAGCAACAAGATTTATTTGCAGAATTTCTAGAACACATAATTTACATGCCACATTTTCCAAAAATATTTTTTAAAAAAGTTCAAAAGAAATCAATAAATAATAAGAAGGCCTAGATGTATACCTATGTATTTTTTCTACCCCATTTTGTTAATTAACTTACACAGCATACTCACATTCATATACATATGCACAACATATCTCCCAACATTGGATGTGCCATGAAAGGGATTGATGAAGCACTCTCTGCATGCAGTGCCATCTTAACAGCATTATAGGCCCTTGGGCAAAGCAGTGCACAGGGGGCCCTGACTACACAACAACTTAGAGGAATAAAAATGAAAATTATCTATAAAATGAAGCTTATAGTAATCGGTACCTTCAGCAAATGTAATACATAAATACACACAGACTGAGTACACACATACAGACTGCTGAATACACACACACACACACACACACTAACTGCTGAATACACACAGAGAGACTGCTAAATACACAGTAAGGGTGCAGTGTATGTGTGTAGGGGTGCTTTTTGTGTGAGTGGTGCTGTGTGTGTTTGTGTGTGAGGGTGCTGTGTTTAAGTGATGCTGTGTGGGCATTGCAGTAGGGCCCTCTTGCTTGTGGGGCCCCCGGGCAACAGCCCAGCGTGCCTATGCATAAAGATGGCCCTGTACGCATGTTCCTAGTGTCCGTTCAAAGCTCAAACACATCTAGTGATTCGCTTACGCTGTGCTGAGTTCCTATTGATGCAGTGCTGGGGGACCACTGATTGGCTGAGAGCGGTCAGTTGACACTTTCAGCCAAACAGTGGCTCCCCATTAACAAAACTGGCTTGAGAAGGGTACATTTCTTTCCAAGACAGTTTAGTGAAAGGGGAGTCACTGATTGGCTAAAAAGCATCAGCTGGCCTCTCTCATCTAATCAGCGGCGCACCTGTCGGTGGCACTCCACGCTACCTGAATCTACCATTTGTGGCCTCCAAACGCGTGGGCTGCATTAACAAGGTACTAAAGTATGGTTTTATTGTATTGCCTGACTGGAATTTGTGAATAATGTAATAAATACAACTCTGGAGAGAGGAAAATGGGATCATCTATGAGGTTTTAGAGGACATTGTGTATGTGTTGCCAGAAGGATTGGATTTGGGGGGGCAGTCCCACCAAATATGAAACAAGGTTCATGTTCTTTAGAAAATATAGCTATCTTATTCTAGGTACCTGGTGCAAATAGAGGATTTATGTGTTAGCCTTATAAACTTGTACCATTTGTCAGGTGACCATTTTATATCCCTTTCCAAGTATTTGGTATAGTATGGAAGAGGCATGTACCCATGGGGGAAATTAGAACTGCCTATAAAGGTGAGATAGCAGGGTGTGGCCTAACCTTGGAGGAAGATGGACACTTAATCCCAGAGCTCTGATCCCCCCATGCGCTAAATCCACCACCATCAGCATCCCTCGATAAGAATAACACCCAAGGGTAATGGGTGGAAACAAGAAGAAGAAAGAAATTGCCCCATCTGTGGCCTCCATATTCCGCATGCCATCCGACCAACAGAAAACATCAACCTCGCAAGCAGAAGAGGACTCGGGCTCCGACACAGAGAGCCTCGACACGACGACACACCCAGCGGCCCCCATTACCATCGGGGTACTATGCGAAATGCTGCAACAAGCGACTACAAAGGCCCACGTGGCCGTAGAGATCGGGAGGCATGCAGAACGGATATAGAAGGCCTCACTGCCCGTACAGACCAGGCAGCAGTCCGGATCGCGGCTATCCAAGCTACCACCACGGCCCAAACCCAGGACATATCATACCTATATGCTGCATGTCTACCCTGGAAGATGGCTTAGAAGACTTAAATAAAAGGTCCAGAAGGAATAATATACGAATCCGCGGCCTACCTGAAACCGTCAATACGGAGCAACTTCTCCCCAATTTAAAAACATCTTCATATTGATGACCCCAGAACTTACTCCCCAAGACCTGGAAATGGATAGGGCCCACAGAGCCCTCGGCCCGCAGAACCTCGGTGCATCAACCCCAAGAGATGTGATTACCCGCATGCAATTCTTCAAAATCAAAGAAGCTACTGAACCAGGCACGGGACAAACCCCCACGCTACAAAGAATCTCGCCTCACATTCTTTCAAGATCTGGCTCCCTTCACACTCAAAAAAAGAAGAGACCTCAAACCTCTGACACTAGCCCTTCAACAGCCAGGTCTCAGATACACCTGGGGCCACCCCTTTAAACTACTGGTCAAGAAGGATGATCAAATGCACATCCTCACCTCAGTCTCAGACATGGCGCCCTTCGCAGAATCCCTGGGGATCCAACTACTAAACCTGGCCCCCTTCCACAGCAACAGGGACGAAGATCAACCTAACAACGAGCCACGCTCCCCCAGACCACCAAAGAAGATGAGACTGTTTTCTGACCCAGAGGGGACCAAAGGCACCCAAAACAAACCCACGTACACAACGCACCTACCAGGGACTATGTGGAACCCGTAACGGCAGGGAACCCGCAAAACACCCTTGACCATCAACCAAAAACACGACCACCCCGCAAACAAACACAAGCACAACCACGACACACACGCCACCAGACAAAACCACCGCTATACTATACGAATAGCAACAACACAGACACCGAGGACCGCAGGGGCTGTCTACCCAGTACAACAACTCTAAACGGCAGTCTACACATAGCCCTCAGACTAAACTCCATGACAACACACATGGCCCAGGAAGGCACCCCAGCCCTCACAGAAAAAGCAAACCCTAAATATATCACCCAAATGGGTATCGAATATACAACAACACAGACCTACCAGGAGAGACACAAGAAGCAACTGTCATATAGCTCTAACCACTACTCTCTCTAACATCAACACAAAGGTTTAAATACAGACAGCTGCCGACTGGAAATTTGTTACCCACCTACCCCCCTCTGTACCCTACCGACCCAAATGGTATACAAAAACAAACTGTATAACTGTATGACAAACACTACCAATTTGTGTATTGAAGACAAATTGTACCATAACCCATGCTACCCAATTTCTTTCTTCTGTACCCCTTCCCCCAGAAAATCTTTAAAATAAATAATTAAAAAAAACAGTGAGATAGCATGAGGAGGAGGAGTCTGGATGAATAATGACTCGAAAACTGTTTGTGGGCATATGGATGTCGGGAGGTCCAGTAAATGTTTAAAAAAGTGTGAGAGTTAAAGGAAATAGCATCTTGCCAATCACGGAGGTTGGGGAATGCTCATGTTACACACAACCTGAAAAGTCTTTGTTTCCCTCTCTTAATTATCTTAATCCATTAAAATAAAAAAACAAAGATAATTAGTTACGGTATTGTAGATATATGCTCCTACTCATTAACTATGTTTACACTAGAGTGTTAATGATAATCTGTCACCTGATTGAAGCTAAATATTATTTCTTCACTACTTCAAAGGTAAGGTCGTACATTTTCTTTTCATCTGTCCTTGAAACAGTACTGGGAATCGGAGAGTAACTAGCTGAAGATGATGAGAGTTTGAGTACTTCAACAGTTGGCTCGATGTAGGTTTCTTAATCCTACCTTAAATGATGCTTTTGTAAGTCTTTCTATGAGACATCATAAAGACAAATACCACCAATCTCACAGCTGTATAAAACTGTCAGATAGAATATGTCCCTAGGGTGAAAGGAGAGAGACACATAGCTGGAAGGAAGGGATGAAGCTTGGGATAAAGGCCCTAAATTATTCTCAAGGCAGTCTTTGTTATAGAGGAGATGATGGATGCGGGCACATTAGTGATGCCAGCTCCAGTCACTGCTAATCCTTCTGCAGCTTTGACAAAGTACTCTGCTGCACATTTTTATGATATGGAGGGAAACTTTATGGTTGTATGGTAAATCATCTAAATACCTTGAGTTAGATTTTAACCCTTGTCATTTAAGGGTCATTTTTTTTAAAATAACCTTTATGTGTGTACATTAATATATGTATTTATCTGTGTGTATATATATATATATATATATATATATATAAATTCAAATAGTGATCAGCACTCTCGGATTTTCAAGAATTAAAAACTAACAATTTATTAAGTATCCATTAAAAAAAGATCAACGTTTCAGTCCCAGAAGGGACTTTCATCCTGATCCTGATGAAAGTCCCTGCTGGGACTGAAACGTTGATCTTTTTTTAATGGATACTTAATAAATTGTTAGTTTTTAATTCTTGAAAATCCGAGAATGCTGATCACTATTTGAATTTATTTGTATTTTCCTTAATTTCAAGCACACGGTTACCAATTCATCAAAGTTTGAGTGCAAGGACTTTTCTATCTTTTATATATATATATATATATATATATATATATATATGAACCCAGGGGGGTGCACTCACCTGAACATGCATAAATGGGGTGCTGCTGGGATCCATTTATACAATACACAAGATCCAGCACACTCACTCATCCACCTAACAGCAATTTCAAAGATCGCAGATTTTTTTTTTTAAACACCTAATCTAGGCAAAAAATAATGAAGGTTTAGTTACAGTATATGATCATACAATGCATAAGCCTGCCACAACGTCAATGTACCGCACCTTTGGCAGGTCAGACATTGGGCACCCCTTTGTGTATCTCATTTTACCCTTCTCCAGCTCCTCTGTATGTCTCTTTCCGATCAGCCCTTTCAGTGTGTCTCTTAGCCTGAGACACTTTTTCTCCTTCTACCCTACCACAACCTCTGTGTGTGTCTCCTCCCCCAGCCACTCTATTTTTCATGGCCCAGCATCTCCGTGTGTCTCTTTCCCAAAGTCCCTTCTCTTCTCTTTCTCTACCTCTACTCCAAGCCCTATTCTCTTCCCCCTATCTGCATGTCTCTTCTCTTAGCCTCTCTGAGTATAACTTTCTCCTCCAGACCCTCTGCATGTCTCGTTCTCCCCCACAGTCCCTCTGCGTGTTTCTTCCTTCTCCCCAGCCCCTCTGCGTGTCTCTCCACCAGTCCTCTCTTACTCCAGCAGGCCCTCTGTATGGCTCTTTCTCCCCCCGCCCCTCTATGTGTCTCATTCCTCCCCAGACCTTCTATGTGTCTCATCCCCCAAACCCTCTATCTGTCTCATTTCTCTCCCCCTCCCTTCCTTTATGGTTTCTGACTTCCCTCTTGTAATGTGGCCCAGTGGACCGCAGTGGAGGATCTTCTGCATTCAGATTAAAGGAAAACACATTTGCAGACTGATTAAAGTGACATTATTTTTTTAAAACCATTAAGCAAACACTTTTAAACAAATATAAAAACCAAAATAAAGCAAGACAAACTTTAAAAAGCATGTAATAAATGGAAATAAACTTACTATAAACTTGGTCAGATTGCATTATTGGTCATGCCTCTCAGCTAAGGCAGTTTATTCAGCCCCCATACATACACCCATCAGTTTAAGACCAGTCGACTGCACAGGATATTGTACAGCAGCATTGAGAGAGAAACCTGACACTGGAGCCTACTCTGAATTATCATACTCCTTCCTAGGCATAGAATACTAAAATGTTACATCAGTGCCCCCCTGAAGTGAGTGTGAGAAGAGTAAGAACAAAAAATCAGATGAATAGGAAAAGAAAAAGAAAATCATATTTGTATGTTTTTTCAGCATGCAGAGTGAGGCAAAAGTCTTATTCAAAACTAAAGCTTTTGAATGAGACAGTTGTCCCAAAGGGATTTGTGTCACTTTAATTAATTTTCCATAGAATAGACGTCCCTTATACTCCACTTACAGTATGTCTACTAACACTTTTGGAATATTTTGTACTATTATAATTATTATTTAGAAAACACATTCTGCAGCGGTGTATAATGGGTAAACTAACAGATAAGTATTTGTAACAAGAGAAGTTGGACGCACAGGAACAGAGGGCTTGAATGAGTTCAGTGAGCTTACATGCTAGGGGGAGTGGGCTATAGTGACACAAATGGTAAGGGTACGTTAGAAAAGCCTTAGTGTTTATTTTTTGGAAGACAGTTGCAGGAGAGGAAGAAAGATGCAGGGAGGGAAAGCTATTAATAGTTTAATTGATATGCTTTCTTGACGAAGTGAGTTTTCAATGATTTTTGAAGGAATGGAGACTGGAGGATGTAAGTCTAATGAAGCATGGAAGAGTGTAGAGGCCCAGGTGTGTATTAGGGAGGATAGGTAGGAGCGATGTTATGTATTATGTATGAGATTTGTAGGCAAGTAATAGAAATGTTAAATTGAGTCCTATATCTTAATGGGAAGCCAATGTAGGGACTGACAGAGAAGGGATCATGGGAGGTGTGAGCGGACAGGAAGATGAACCTTGCTACAGCATTCAATATTGACTATAACAGAGCAAATTGGTAATGCGTAAGACCACTGAGATGTGGATTGCAGTAGTCATGGCAAAAGAGCATAGTGGCATACACCAGCACCTTAGTCGCATCCGGCGTTATATAGAGGTGGATGCATGCTGTGTTTATGGTATATTTAAAATAAACAGAAAAAATGACTATACTTTGTGACATAGGAAAGACTTTAAGCTCGAACCAAAGTGTAATCAATGTGGGTTATTCTGGCACAGAAAGATGATTTTCTGTCTTCCTATAAAAATATAAGATTTACTGAACATCCAGATATAGGAGGTGCAGACAGAAAACACATATTAACCCCAATAGTTAATCAAAAATATAATTTAATCATGAAAACT